TAGCGACCTGTTTGTTCTCCTCCGGGTGTCCTCCTAGTTGTCAGTTTGCCTTTTGGATTTTGGCCGCTATCCATACACACTGCACTCATTAGGTGTGGTTTGCTGACACAACCTGCCATTGCCAATGCTGAGCTTACAACCTGAGACCACACTCGGTTTTTGAGTCATATCTCACAGCTGATTCATTTGACTAACATTCCTTGTCCACTTTCTGAATGCCAGATCTCTCTCCTACTCGGTAACTGACAACCCAAAAAAAAAGACCTGATAGTTATTTCAGTGAAATTTTATCCTATAAGGTGTGTAGGGTTTTCTGGTTACCTCTTAACCTAAGTCCTTCGCCTTTTACTAAAAGAGACATTTTAGCCAAACTGAGATTCATTTGGGTTTCACGGTTGTCTGGTCTAACGTAAAGCTCCTCTCTACGTTTGTCTTTTGCCACCTCCCCGCCACTCAGCAACCCTTCAATGCATTTGGTTACCTGATCCTCAGCCCTCTTTAGTGGTCTTCTGTTTAAAACCGACCACCTCCCTGATCATAATCCATTTCCTGTACTCTTTGCTATTTTCCCCTTCATAGCATGCGCCATCGCCTGGCATACCACATTCGCTCGTTTTATTACCTTTTGTCTCCTTTGGAAAGTGGAAGGTGTGTTGCGGTAGCAGTTTCTGTGGATTTCTTTCCTGCCGGGCGCCATGTTTGTTAAAGGGTGTGGTTGAACACAGCAACATCCCCACCTATCTCAGTAAAAGCGTTGAACCTGACAGGGCCAAGGCTCGGTTCAGTGCCACCTGCTAGAGGTTGCTAAGGACGATGTGAACACTTACAAACCCACTTCAGACTGTCGGCATCCAGCCTGACTCATCCTCACTCTACCCAGTGGAGTATCAAGAAAGTTGATCACATTTTTTGCTACAGTTAGATATTTCACGTTGGAGATAGCGCTCTCATCCACCAGTCTGGAAGTTCCCTCTCTCCCCATCCCCACAAGAAAACAGGCTCCATTGGACATGTGTTAGCCCAATGCCTCTTGCTAACTGCATACAGGTCATCTTTGTGATGTTTCATCTGAAATTCTGCTCCAAGACAGAGCATTTTAATCAGTGGCCTGTCCAAACCCTGTGACTACCTTCAAGGACATCCTTCCAAATACACTGTCCCTTCATCTCAGGCTTGGGACCTTGTTCCTAAGGCACCAAGGGTCAGACGGCTTAGATTCAAAGGCAATGTTTCATCAAGAATTAGAATCTTATTTTTTCTATTTCTAACCTCTGTAGTCATTAAAAAAATTGTGTAACATTCAACATATAATACTATTTATTTCTATGTGATTATATCCTTTTGGCATTGCATCTAGGTGCTACAAATAAACAATAAAGATCCTAGTTTGGGGTTTTTTTTTCCTTTAATTTTAGTATCGGTTCATTTCATCCTCATCCCAGATTTACCCCAGTAGCCTCCTGACTGGCTCCAAGCATCTCATCTCATGCTTTTCCAGTTTAGACTCTTCAGTCAGGGCACTCATGCATGATTAATGGGAGCCTGTGAGAATCACATCTAGACTTTTCGGGCCCCTTTCAAATCTACCAAATCAGAATCCATGTGTCCATGGGTCCTGCAAGTGATTACATTAAAGTTTGAAACACACTCTCCTCTCTTATGCCATGCATCCTTAAACTATACATGAATCATCCCCAAACTGAACTTTCAGATGAGATGCTTTTGACATCATTGGCTCTAAGAAGGGTGACCAAGTGTCAAGTAACTTTAGAGTTACTTCTAGTAAAAGTAAAGTGTATTGTTTCTCCATGGTGTGAGGGCATTTGGGAAGCACACGTGATAGGCTGAATTCTTGGTCATTTCATACTTACTATGTATTTACTATATTGTTGCACTTATAATGTACTTACTTGATGGGAGATGTCATTCTGTAAATATGTTTCTCTTATTGGTTAATAAGTAAAGCACTGTTGGCTTTCTGGGAGAGGTAGCAGGGGATTCAAGATGTAGAGACTTGAGAGAGAAGAGGTCCAGACACTCTCTCTGGTAAGCCAAGACCACGTGGAAACACTTAGATTAATAGAAATGGGTTAATATTTAAGACAGAGCTAGCCAATAAGAAACGCTAATAACAGGCCAACAGCCTTATATCTAAAGCTGTTGTTATTTGGGGATGACATGGCTGTGGAACCAGGCTGGCGGGGAAACTGCTCATAATGAAATGGCACCTACAACGTGGATACTAAGAACTTCCACTTAAAACTTGACAAAGGCTTAAAAAGGGATTTTAAAAACAAAATAACAGAGACAAGCAAGGCTTCTTGGTAGCAGCATTTTTCTCAGGTGGGCTCTGTTTTGCTAGAGACACGCGGCTCCTTTAAGGGAGGTTTCCTGACTCAGCATAAGTGGCAAACCCTGCTAACAACTTAATGGTGTGTATGAGAGCTGGAGACGGCAGTGACCACAGACAGCTCTCAGTGCTGTCGGTAAATGTACAAGCATTTTTCCTTAATGTAATCCTTACCATAATCTATTTAGATAGGTATTTTCCCACATTTAGTTGCAAAGTAGGCACAGAAATGTAGGAAGTTGGAAGTTACTAGAGAGAAAAAGGAGAATTACTAATAAGACAAACCCATAGATTCTGCCCAGATGCCTAACTGAAGGATGAGATTCAAATCCTGTCCCCAAACTTGTGATCTTTTTTATATAATTGACTGTTGGTAGATGTTGAGTTGATGTGGACTAAAATATATGTATGTATGTATGTATGTATGTATGTATGTATGTATGTAATGATTTGGAGTCATTTAGTCCTTTTCTTTGTTTCCTTGGCCACCAAAGTATCTCTGTGACAAACTGTCACAATTTTTAATGAAGCTATTTTTACTTATAAAACAGAACACACTGGGTGGTGATGACAGATGCCTTTAATCCCAGCCCTTGGGAGGCAGGCACATCTCTGTGAGTTCAAGGCCAGCCTGGTCTACAAAGTTACACAGAGAAACCCTGTCCTGGAAAAAAAATTAAACAAACAAAAAAACAAAACAAAAAGGAAACCAGACATATATCATCTCTGTTAGGCATAAATATCATAATAAAATAATCAATTATTTTCTATTCTTCTTAATGAAATTATTTTTTATATTTGTGTGTGTGTGTGTGGGTGTATGTGTGTCTTTGTGTCTGTGTGTTTGCATGTACATGCCAGGGCGTGCATGTGAAGGCCAGGGGAACATTTGATTCTTTGTGATTCTTGTAAGAGTTGATTCTTTCCTTTCCTTTCACCATCTGGGTCTTAAGTACCAAATGCAAGCTGTCACAGGCTTGATGGTAACCACCTTAACCCAGTGAGCCATCTTGCCATTCTGAAATTTTTATTTTATTCCAAATAAGTACATACTGATTGTTTTGTGTTCAGATATCTAGTCACCATACCCATTGGTAAGCACTTGAGATATATATATGTGTGTGTGTGTGTGTGTGTGTGTGTGTATTCACATATATATGCACACACATATATACATCCTTACAGATAGGCACATATATATGCATGTATACACATGCAGCACTTGATATATATATATATATATATATATATATATATATATATATATCTCCACCCAGATACATGTATATGTGTATATATATATATATATATATATATATATATGCATGCATGCATATTTGAAAAATAATTCTATACAAATCATTTTTTTTTTTTTTACCAAATAATCACCTTCTTTATAAGAGTCATTTGCCTTAGGAGAATGTCATTGTTCCAAACACTTCTGAAATTTCATGTTTGCTGGAGTGCAGGTCAACTCATATACAATAATACTTCCTAACAGCACCAGCAAACATTCAGAGGCATGCAGCAATATTTAGCTCTCACACGTATGGGCCCCCTGCAGCTGTGCCTGGATGGCTAGCTCTGTCCCGGGCATCTCTGGCTTTCCTGAGATAGCTGACTAGTTTGAACCTGTTTTCCTCTGGCTATGGCAGAGCATAAGAGAGCAGATGGAAATTCTTGAGGTCTAGGCTGGGAACTGGCATAAGCCAAAACAAACCATGTAGCCAAACCCACAGTCAAAAGCCAGCAAAAATGCACAACGAGGCTTTCAGTTAGAGAAAATACAGTCACACAATAAAGGGTAAAGCACACTCAGTAAGGAATCGGGGCCAGGGCCAATGAAACAGCTTACCATTGCTTTGCCTTAGCAAGTTATTTTAAATATTTGTCATGATAGTAGCTATTTTAAGGGTAGGTTTTTTAAATAGCCAAGTTATGAATAAAATTAGAAAATTGGGGTAGGTTTATCATTGAGCGGAGAGGTAACTATTTGACCATGTCACATAAAATAATCTTTCTTCTGGAAGAATTTGTTTAAGAATATAGTATTTAGTGCAATGTTTCTCAACCTTCCCAATTCTGGGACCCTTTAATATAGTTCCTCATGTTGGGGGGACCCCCAACCATACAATTATTTCATTGCTACTGTATCACTGTAATTTTGCTACTATTATGAATCATAATATAAACATCTGTGTTTTCTGATGGTCTTAGGTGATCTGAGTGAAAGGGTTATTCAACCCCCCATAGGGGGTTGACTCACAGGTTGAGAACCATTGATTTAGTGGCATAGTGTTTGAGATAAATGTCTTTCCTAGTTGACTACTTTGAGATGATTAAAACTCACTTGAACATTTGGTTCTAAAACAGTTTTGTTGTTGTTGCATTTTTGAGACAAAAATCTCTCCTCATATCCCTGTCTATCACAGAACTTACTGTATACCAGACTGGCCCCAAACTCATAGAGATCTGCCTGTCTCTGCCTCCTGAGAGCTAGGATTGAAGGTGTGCACTGTCATGCCCAGCCCTCTAAAAGATTTTTAAAAATAAATCCAATGTATTGTAGTCACGTGCTATCAAAGGAGAAAGGGAGCTAGCAGAGGCTCATGCTGAACTTCTAACTCTGGAAAATATGCTTTCTGTGCAGATTCTCATTGCCAAATCCCCTCTGGCTGCCTTCACCTCCTTCGTCTACACCATCAAAGAGGAAGGCCTGGTTCTTCAAGGTAAGATCCTTTGTCTAAATAGTTTCTGTAAGCATGTTCTTCTTGTGCTGCCCATAGTCAGTGACAAGCACTGCTTGGGTCTTTTTAGATGCCAATTCAAAGGCCAAGGCAAAATCATCAGTGATTTTTCTAAAACCCTGATTAGATCAAGAGATTTGGCAAGTTGTAACAGGAATTTGACAGGAGAAAGGAAGAAGTATGAGATTTAATAACAGAGTGGAAGGGATGGGACTGTTGTTCAATGGTGGAATGCTCACTTATATTGTTGCATTATAACAAACAAAAGAAAAAGAAAAACAAACAAAAAAAACCCCTCCAAATGGAACAACAATAACACAAAAAAATGAGGGCTTAATCCTTTAAGAGATTCTGCAGATCAATATGAAGTACTAAGACCATAGATTCTTGAGATATGCATGTGTGTATGTACACACACACACACACACACACACACACTTATATGGTCAGGTGCCTGTGCATATTGAAACTTGAAGTTGGCAGGTGTCTTCCTCAATTCCTGTCTGCCTTATGTTTGAGGCCGGGTCCCTTGCTGAACATGGAGCTCTCCCTTCTGGGTAGTAGGGCTCGCCGGTTTGCTTCAAGTAGTCTTCTGTCCCTGTCACCTATGTTGGGATTGTCGCCACCACCACCAACTTTTCACGTGGGATCTGGGGGGGGGTCTGAACTCTAGTCACCACACTTTGCCACACATACTTGGCCTGCTGAGTTGTCTCCTCAGCCCCATAATGATCTTGTAAATGACCAAACAACTGTCTCCTTTAAAGCAGGTATTTATTTATCTTAGGAGAATGTTAAGAGCACTTCTGATTATGAGATCTTGCCCCCACCATCCCCTTTGCAGATCCTATGGTGTGAACTTTGCAGAGTTGTCAGTGCTAGCCTGGCAAAGATCTCCCTCTTAGCCCACAGGGCTGTGTGTGGATTCCTGGAACCAGCTTCCCTGTACTGAAGTCCAGTTTGCACATTGTGACATCATGGTCCTTGACTTGAAAGCAGCTGGGTTCTTGCTCAAAGCTCAACTCCACTAGGCCATGCCCTGGAACTCACTTGAGTAGAGGTTCAATCCTAAATGCTCATTAGAAAAGGTTCTTAATGTGACCAGGTCTTTGCAGAAAACAGTTAACATGCAAGGGCAAATTTAAGACTCCAATGATTCTGCTTCCAGAGTTAAATGTCTAAAATGTCCCTATGGATTAAGAATGTTCAGGGTACACATTTGTCCCCCACTGTTGGGCCAAAGACCCCACTCACAGAGATGTATAGGTGAACATCTGTCCTGAACCAGAGCCTTGGCCATTGCTTTGCATTGGCAGGGTTTTATGAGTGCAGGTTTTCCTCCAGGTTTGTAAAGCAGGGTAGTTGCTTCAGTGCCCCTGAGGAGACTTCATTGCAGAGACCGAGCAGGGGCAGGATCGGGATTTCCCACTTCTAGATGAGGAGGAGGCTGCGACCTCCCCTTCCACCCCCTCTGAAATGCCTGCTCCTTAATGGACTCTCAAGCAGTGTGTTTGTTCGGTGCTGCCGAGCTCCCCAGCGGGAGGCTCTCAGGTCCACAGAAATTTGGGGTAAGAACCGCTGACCTTTGGCTCTTAGCCTTTGACTTATGCTATCCAAGTTCCTTGGTAAATATTTTTTTTTTTACAATTGCAAATATTGTTTTCTGACAAAGAAGCAGAGATTTTTAAGACCAGATTAAGCAAAGCAAACAGCAGGCCCCTTTGTTACACACTCTCTGAGGGTGTATAACTAATAAGCGATCAGAAAGCCAGGTTTATATTTACCCAGTGCACAGTGTGGGTTTTTGAGAGCTCCATTTTTAGAGGCTGTCTTGGAAGATTAGTGGCCTGGTAAATAGAAAGCTAAGATGAAGATTTCAGAAAGTCTAAGGAAGACTGCAAGCTAAATTCAAGAAGAAAAGAACCTGTTCTGCCTAGAAGGCTTGTATGGAAAGCCTTGCTAGGAAGCATTTCTAAGCTCCCAGTGTTATCAGGGACAAGATTCCCTAGTTTGCCTCCCTCATGTTCACTCCTAAGATCATGATTCAGACAGAGAAGAAGGAATTCTTTAGAGAAGGATAGAAACTGAACATACACTTGGTGGGTGGGGAGCCAAAAACCAATAGTAAGGGTCTCACCAACCCAACAACTTGAGTAAATTCACACACACACACACACACACACACACACAACACACACACAACAAAACAGGATGTAGTGGCCCACATTTATAATCACAGCAATCCTATGAAGAGATGAAAAGCAGAGACAGGAGACTCACCCCGAAGCTGGGCTAGCCTGGATTACATAGCATGGCAGAAATAACAAGAGGGACCCTGCCTCTCAAAAACAAGGGGGAGAAAAGCTGGAAAGATGGCCAAAAGTGACGGCTGCTCTTGCAGAGGACCCGGGTGTGATTCCCAGCATTCACTGGCAGCTCCAGGGGGTCGGATGCCTCCTCTGGCCTCTGTGGACACCAGGCACACATGTGGTACATATATGCGGCAAAACACTCTTACACATAAAATAGAATCTAAAAAGAAAGAACGTGGAAGAAGAGGACATGTCTCAAAAGTTGCCCTCTGACCTCCACATACATGCTATGTCATGTATGTGCATGGGCGTGCGCGTACGTACGCACGTGTGCACACACACACACACACAATGATGATGGTGGTGACGAAAAGAACAACTATAGAGAAAGCTAGGAACCAGCAAAGAAAGTGTTACTGAAGGGGATATACCTGGAGCAATGTGTCCAGCAAAGAGGAAAATTCAAGATGGCATGATGCAAGGTCCCCAACCAATAAGAACATGCCCAGGGGAGAGGCTCCAAACCCTACAGGCTGATTTCTAGGCTGCCATCTCAGTTCTGCTCTCCCAGAAGCACTTCCCTCTCTAAGGAACCCTGCTTCCCCTGTGAGCAATGCCTCTTAACACAACCTGGTGGGGGGGCCTGTATGCTGCCACATGCTCCTGGGTCTTGGGGGTGAGGAATGACAAGAAAATCAAGAGCCTCTTTTATTAGAAAGAACACTCGGTTTTCAGTTCCCATTTTGCTGCGATTTTGAGAAACATCTCTGTACTGTACAGTAACCTGTTAGTGGGCTGTAATGAAACTGAGGAAGCATACCCAACACCAAGGGAGAAAGGGAGGTAGGGAGAGAGGGGAGGAAGGGGGGGCAGGAGAATATCAGGTTATAGCACATGCATCCAATCTCCTTCCATGGGATATTTAGTCCTTGTGTGCACAAGTGTGTGCATGGTCAGTTTGTATATGTAGGTCTCGTGGCCTGCAGCATGGACTGCAGTAAACAGCCTGAGTGATCACTGAAGTCCCCCAGACACCACTTCCCTGCTTCTCCTGGGAGGGGACCACATGTGAACCCTTTACCTCTCTCCCCTCTCTGTTCAATTGTTCCCTTGAGATCAGCACAGCCGAAACACGAGCTTCCTCCTCTCCCCCCACTCCCGCCCCATTCTTAGCTGAAAGTCTGCATATTCCTCAGGTTTGAAGCAGAGAAGCCTTGCTGCCTCTGTCGTAAACCTGGGGAGAAACCTAAGTTAGGGCCACAAAGCTTTCCTGGTGGAAGGGGCTGCTCTGACAGGCAAAGTGAGCACGATGCTCTCTGGGTAGGACCTGCAACTCATGCCAGCAAGGGCACACAGAAGGGTGGCGAGGACAATAGCTGGGAGGCTGGGGCAGGTCTTGAGCTACCGCTAAGAGAAGCAGGTGCCATTGTAGCTCGACGCCAGTCTCTGGGAGAGAGCCTGGCTGGAGTGATGGGAAAGCGCAGTTAGCTCATGCAGGCTGCTCCGGGGGCGGGGCTGTTAGTGACCGTGGGAATGGTCCCTCGGGCCTTTTATCCTCAGCAAACCCCTAGATTCCTAATACCTGAAGCCTTCTGAGCGCACAGCAGAGGGAGAGAATGAAAGGTGAGGGCAAAATGGGATTGACCAGCTCCACAGGCCATTCCCCTCGCTGGTTCTCAAGGATTAGGATTCGGAGAGCAGGCGGCAACTGGGGGCCTGACACTGGTCCCTCCCCTTTGTTCCCTGGGATGGGAGGGACAATGAAAGGGCAGGCTGGAAAGACCAAGGGGCTGGGTAGAGATTTCTCAAGCTGCTTTTTGAAACACTTGAAGGAGCCAGTCCGTGCTATTGTTGTAGTAAAATAGAAAGCGGAACTATTCTCCTTTAAAAAAAAAAAAAAAGAGAGAGAGAGAAAAGAAAAGAAAAAGTAAAAGAAAGAAAACCACCCTCCCAGGCATCTTCAGGGGGCTGCTGGACTGAAGCCATTAACATGGTAATACCATCCTGTTTGCATCTTCTTTGTCTGCCCTGCATTTGTCTGGGTTTCTGCCTCCTGGAGCCCTAGACCCTGGAAATACTTAGGCCCTAAAGGGAGAGGGAGCAAATCACATGGCCAGCATGGCCACGGGCTTCCAAGCCGCCTGGCCTCTAGTTGGTGGCCAGGTGGAGTTAGACGGAGAGTCCAGCCCTTTGTACAACTGGAATGAGAATCTTGGGAATGGAAAGGAACTGCAAATCTAATTTTCCTTTTCCCCTTGTGGAAGCCTTGGGACTGGAAAAGCTTGCAAAGAGCTGAGCGAGCCAGAGAGGTGCCAGGACAGCTAGCCATGGAAAAGTAGCTGACTTTGGGGGTGGGTTTTAATGGTGTGGCTCCCACCCAGAGCACTTGGCTGCAAAAGGAAAGGGAGAATGTGCAGGAAACTTCAATTTGACCCAAGTCTCTCTGCTCATGCCCATTGTCTCAGTGAATTCCAAATGTGCCACCAAGAACAGAGCAGGGACTTGGAGTGGGCAGCTGGCTGTGTTGCTGATGCTGGGGGTAGAGGGATACAGGGTGGAAGGGGCCATCTGGTCCTCCTAGAGCCAGTCCTGATTTCTTGGGGTCTATGACTGAGTGAAGGAGCTTCCAAGGAGGAAGCTGGCCTAGGGAGTGGAGAGGACGGATGGCGA